ATTGCATTGCGTATGCCTCGTTCATAACATTGCGTATGTTAGTGCATTGTGTATGCATGCCATATAATCCACGTGCATTGAGTATGCCCTTGATTAGTCCATAGCATTGTGTATGCTAGTTGCATGCTTTCATGTCATCCTTTGCATGTTTGCATCACTTAGTCGCATTACATTTAGGATTGCATACTAGAGTTGCATTTGTAAATATGCCATTCTACTTGTTGCATTGTGTTTGGAAAAGGAGTTAGTCCAAATGCGAGAAACGAGGAACGTTTCATACTCCAAGTGATGAAGCGTGCCTCGATTCCCGGTCGCTGACACTCTTGACCATCCATGATAGAGTTGTTAGTTTTAGTTGCTTATATGTGCATTCATGTCCCATTGAGTCGTGCAATTCGACTCCTCGGCCATCATGCATCGGGATGTGTGATTGGTGGCTCGAGGATCGAGGACTACACTCTCTAGAGCTTATGCAATGATGGGGAGAATGGTCGGGCACACATGTTGAAAATACCTTGCTTTCTCTCTCTCTCTTGCCTTTGTTGCAGAAAAAAGTAGAAACCAGGAGAATGAACTGGTCGGCCGACCAGGTTTTCTGGCAGGCCGACCACCTTTTCTGGTCTTGACCACCAAGGGTGGTCGGCAGGTGGTCTCCCTTGCCCATAGCTGGTCAGTAGCCTTCCCAGAGCTTCCCTGGGTGGAGTTTCATCTCTCTGGAGCCTCGTGCAACTTTCTGAAATCAATTGCAAACAATGGCGAGTCGAGGCATCATGATGGATTTCCCGACAAGGCGACCCGAGCATGCATGCATCCTTTATCATTCAAGGCAGAGCTGAGGCAATCCATTTCATGTAGCTTGCATGCTAGTTTATTTGCTTCCTTAGTTAAATTTGTTAATTAGCTAGTATTGTGTAATAATTAGCTGTAATTCGTTATTCATTTGGGTTGTGTAATAATTAGTTTAATTAGCTTAGATTAGCTAGTTGGTTGTGTATTATTCATTCGGACCCTCCAAGGAGGGCAAAGTTGTAATAAGTGTGCATGTGTGCAATGTATGTCTTCCAACCCCACGTCTTTCTCCCTTTCATTTACCAGCTTATGATGGTTAGTTTTAGGGCACGTTTCAATTAGCATCCTTATGCTCGTATGTTTGCATCCATTCATCTGTTTTGCATGCACCGGGCTCGACGCATCATACTAACTGCATTGTATTTCAAATCCGAGTTGAATACATGTTATATGTAGCATCTCATATGCTATCTTAGAATAGCCAAGCCTATCTTAGTTGCATTTTGCATGTGTTGTATTAGCCATCTTAACATGAACTAGGATCATGCATTGATTACTAACTAGTTTCTATTTTGGCTTGGAGTACTTGGTAAATGTTTATGCTTTAGCATCCTTGCATGTGTGTGAGTGACTGCCACAATAGCATGCTTGCCATGAGGCTAATTGCTTATGTGATATACTTGCCTGAATGCCTGTGGGTGAAGGTTGGATTATTTAAATTGGAACAATTCATCGATTGCAAGTTTTAAGCCCATTTGAGAGTGGCAAATCACCATGTTTTCTAAGCCCACTTGAGGGTGGCAAAATCCGCATTTTAGCTTACTTGCGAGTAGCAAACCGCTTTCAAAAACAAACATGAGAGGTTTCGTTCCAACTTAGACGATCCAGTCTATACTTGTATGCTATGCGCATCACGTAGCAATTCTAGGCTAATAAACCGGAATAAGAGCACATATGCTTTTCAAAAAAACAAGATATCATGTTTAGTAGTGGCCGATCTTTGATCGGGCAAGCGGGGGTGCTCATTGCATGACCTTCCCCAATCGTACCCAAGTTCCCGATCCGAGGCAACTTTGGTGATGACGGACACGTGGCCTTAGGCACGAGTCAAGGTTTCTTAAATTCACCCAAAATAAAATATTTAGGTGGCGACTCTGTATCTGGCAAAGCAGTCCATGTTTGGCACTTCTTTCTAAAAATCAGTTTTTCAAAACAATTTGCCGGAGTTGGACTCTTTGGTGGTTTATCAATCTCGTATTGCACTTTGCGAGATCAGATTAAGAACCGTGACATTTGAGTCCGAACTCTAGTAAGCCCAGATGAACAAAACGGGATTTTCCCAGGACGTTCGGGGACGTCTACAGCAGCAGGGAAAAGAAAAGGACACTACGCCAAAATTGGGCTTTAGCGGCGGTTTTTTACCGCCGTTAAAGGCTGTAAAACCGCTGTTACGGCGGTATTAACGGCGGTTTTGTTACCGCCGTTTATGCGCATGTCGGAAAAAGTACAACCGTCGTAAAAAGGTAAACTACCATCGTTAAAAGTCGACCAAAAACGGCGGTAACATAGGACCAAAAACGGCGGTTTTTTACCGCCGTAAATAGGTTCAAATTTTTCAAAAAATAGTTCTTTCTTCTTGCACCTCCCAAGTCTTGAACCCTCAACCTCTCATCCACCCACACTAACCACTCTACCATAGCCACGCTTCATGAAATGTATTCCCTAAATAAATATTTCAACATTATTTTTACTTTATTGTAGATGGTTTCGCCGGAGTTTCGCCGGAGCACGCCGGAGTTTCGCCGGCAAAGGACGTCGTCATTAACGGCGGTAATGATTGGGCATTAGCGGCGGTTTTGTTACCGCCGTTAAAAGTGGGTATTAACGGCGGTAACAAAATCGCCGTTAATGATACCTTTAACGACGGTTTTCGTTACCGCCGTTAATAGTACTTTTAACGACGGTTTTCGTTACCGCCGTTAAAAAAACCGCCGTTAATGCCCCTGTTTTGACGTAGTGGGATCCTCAAGAATGACAAACCTAGAAAGCCGAAAGGCGTCGAGAATGCAGAGGTCCTCCAAATCTTGTTCTCGAGCTTCGACTACTCTATCATACCACTCATCCCATTTAGTCTTCAACGTAAGCCAACAACGATGAGGTCGATTAACCCTCCAGTTTCCCCAGTTAAGACTCCTTTCATAGAAAAGGTAATGATCCTCCAAACATGGATACAAGAGTGGAAGTGAAGCAGGAGCTTCCTTGAAAATAGGGCCAAGAACAAACTCCCCTTGGGCATGGTGGCGAGGGACAAAGATCTATCCATCAATCATGTTATGACCCTTTGGTGCCTGACACTTGGCTATCTCATCATTAATACATCTCCTCAAAGCCACTGAGGGACGTAAGTGCTCAACAATTGGTAATCTCGAGTAAGAATAAGCCATTAGTGAGAGATTATAAAGAGGGTAAGGAGAGTGAGTATGGAGATGGTAACGAGACGAAGTTGACAGCAATAGAAGTAAAGGAAAAGACTGGACAAACGAGTAGGTAAGAGCGCGAGAAATTGGGGCTTTAAATCTCTTTATCAAAACCTAATATAAAATTTATTAAGTGGCATAAAAACAAAAGAAAAAAAGAAATCCATTGTTAGCATTTTCTTTTTTATTTAAGGAAGGCATTATCTCAATCCACCAAGTCTCTTCCATCTTTATCCAAAGGCCTAAAAAAAAATTCATTGTCCAAAGATCTTTTCTAAAATTTGATAAAAATCTCCCAAATAAAAATAGAACTATTCAAATGGTTATAAATTCTACGTATTGTAGGAAGCATTACCCTGAGTAGTTGCTGGAATATTAAATAATTTATTATCTCATGTTCAATGGCCTTTGATTTATTTATTTATTTTTTATTTTTATTTTATTTTTTTTTAAAGATAGTCAAAGGGCTTCGATATTAAAGGCATAAATGAACATTCATTCTAAAAGGCTAATAAAAAGTAAAATTTCTTTATCCATCAACTTAACTTAACACTTAAAACTAAAAATAAATTCTATGCACGAAAGAGGACAAATATATTAAATTTTAACTGCAATAATAAAAGAAAACAATAAATTTTACATTAAAAAGTGTAATCTATATAAAAAAATTTAAAATGTTATTTGAGTGTAATAAAGGGCCTCTCTATGCACAAAATTCATGCACAAAAATATACCTAGAAAAATAATATGTGGTTAAGATTCAACTCTTATGTAGTGGAGTAAAGTCCACATTTTGAATGAATCTTGACCGTATATTAAAATTTTTGAGTATTTTTAAGTATACAAAATATAATTCAAAATTACTAGAGATTCCTAATTATCTACAAACTAAATTATCAACTACTCACAACGAGGAGTTGATAATTTGATTTGTATTTCATTAAAAAACGCAATGTATCATGAATTTTCATCTTGAAACTTACTCTGAAACTAAAGTGTATGATGTAAATTTAAAATTAGTCGAATATGGATCATACAAACACAATGAATACATACTCCCTTGATTTAGTTTATTAGTGTTATCGACAAGGGCCCAATTTAATTGACTATAAAAAAAATTAAAATAAGAAAAAACATTCCCTCATAATGTAAGTAATTACCTGATATATATATATATATATATGTTAAACGTGGTAAAATAGAGAAGTACCATTTGGTGGCTTTGAAACAGTTTTGCACAAACTGATTCAAAAGGAAGTAGTGGCAGTGAAACTCTTCATTTTGGGGCAGTCTCTCACTGTAAGTATTTCCAAGGATGGTCATTCAAAAAGAAAGTCGTCTCCTCCTGTGCAGAAACCATCTTGTAGTCCACTCTCTCTTCTTTTTCTTTACGCCCTTCGTTTTGCTTCGCAGCAACAATTTGCTCCATTTCTTCACAGCAAGTTACCCAAAGCACTTCAAGTAGATAAAGAGCTTGAGCTATGGAAGGTTGGAAGACATATTTCAGTTTGCCACATGAATGGACTTTCATAGACCACAATCAAATACTTGTTCCAGTTTCTCACATGCTGATACAAAAAACTTCTCCAAACTTCAGGACATGTGTTAACTTCCAAACTTCTGAGCCTTGGGAAGCACACCCAGCTGGAAGTAGTAAGTGCACCTGGGCATATCCCTTTGAAAGTATCCAATTTCCAGAGTTTCAATTCTTCCAGGTTAAACAACAATTGCAGATCAAGTGGTTGTGCCTGTGGTGAAATGCCCCCATTCCTCTGTGTTGATCAAGTACTCAATTTGACAACAATCTTTAATCCTCAGATGCTCAAAGACATTTAAACCTTCTACATCGGCTTGAAAATTTGGAAAAATGTTCTTCGTGTCCTGCAAATGCTCCACACTTAGATGCATAGCTCTCTTCAACACCATCTTTAGCCATTTACTCCAATTAACCATGGGTCCAACCGAATTTCCAAGTCCCAAATAATTTGGGGAATAATTTTCATATCCCCAACTTGATTTTCTGATAAAGATGATAAAACTTTCCAGCTCAGGAAAAACAAAGTCCTTAGGTATATGCGCAATGTCAGCTATGGAAATGGTTAGAACTTTTAGGCAAGGCCAAGATCTTAGTGCAGTAGCTACTTCTACTGCAGCGTCTCCAATCCTCCAAGTTACGCTGCCAAACAAGTACAACTCCTCTAAATGGCATAAAGGTGATACCATTGCAGCCGGAATGAGAAATTCATGAAAGCTTCCAGTCATGTCCAATAACCTTAGATTAGTTAACTCCTTTATAGCATTTGGTACCTCAGAAAATAAGGCACGCCTGAGGTTAAGGACTTCAAGTATCTTTAACTGTCCAAGACATTTAGTGTCCCCAAACTTAATTCCTTCAAGAACTAATGTTCGAAGACACGTCTGGTTATTGAAAGTATCAGGACAACGAATTGGATTGTCAAGATGAGGGTAGAAGTGTCGGCTCCAATCTAAAACACTAAGTGCCTTCATCCTAGAAAAGAATTCATGTGAACATGACCATGCATTTAGATTGTCTTGAAATGGTAATATTTGGAGCTTTGAACATTCCAAGACCTCAGGAAGGTTACTGATCTGATTTCTCATCAATGATATGCCTGTGTATTTATCCAAACTATCCACATTTGGCCAATCTTTCAAATTGCAACCAGCTCTTACAAAATGCTTTTTGGATCCTGTAAATATGGCAACATCACGCAGAACATCATGCATTTTGATGCAATCTTGTACATCACTAGCTAATAACAAACATGAAGCTATGAGATTGCTGATCACAGACTGTGCTCTGCTCCTAGGCTCCGGCACTGTATCAACATTTTTGAATAATCTCAACCCCATCCCATACTGTACCAAGTCTTCTATTAAGTTGTCATGATCCTCGGGAAACAGAGAACAAAGCAAGAAGCAATCCTTGGCTTCCTCATCTTGCAAGTAATCATAGCTCAACCTCAGAGTTTTGTACACTTGTTGATCAACACCTTCAATGTTTGTTGGCAATGATTTTTTTAATTCTTGAGCTGCATTTTTCCATTCTTCAAGGTTACATTTACCTTCCACTGCTTTTCCAACTGTAACTACTGCTATGGGAAGCCCTCCACATTCTTTACAAATCTCTTTAGCAACATCATTTAACGTAGAAGAGTCAACAGTGTCGCCAACATTTTTTCTAAACAAGTCCCATGAATCTTGTTCAGATAAAACATCAAGCCAGACTATCTTTGTTGTCTCCCATTCCTTTGCCATGGTTTTGCATACTTGCTCACGCCATGTTGTGATTATGATTTTGCAGCCCTCAGGATCTTGGCCAAGTGGAATGCACAAGGTTGTCAATTCAAGTCTGTCCCAAACATCATCTAATATAATACGGATCTTTTTCACATCCTTGAGCCTTGCACAAAGCATGCTTCCTCTTCCAATTTCAGTTGACTGATCAGTAAATTTGGTGAAACCCAACATAACAGCTATTTGATCTTGAATCTTTTTAATATCTCGGTTTTGAGACACTAAAGCCATCATAACTTCATCAAAAAGCTTATATGATTTAGCTTTTTTCCCAATTTCTTTTACTAAAGTTGTCTTTCCAATACCCCCAAGACCATGTATTCCAATAAAGTTGATCTTGTCATCAGTTAGTGCTTTCATTACGCTCATCATTGCCAAATTTGTGGTCTCATAAGTCACAAGCCTTTCCGAGGGTATGGACTCTATCCCCATGGGACGAGCTCGTTTGGATATGCTATTGAAGTAGCCATCTTTTTCTAGCTCTTTAGCCACCTCAACTTTATCTTTTGCTTCTTTACCTAGCTGGCGACGTGTGACCAAATCAGGAAACCACCCAATGAAACATTTCTGGTTTACATTGGTACCATCTTCTAGAAACTTTTTAGCCTCTACTATGAACCCATCAACTTTTTCAATCCAATTGTTGACATTTTCTAGAATTTCTTCTCTATTCCTTTTTGCTGCATCAATGAAGTCGTCCACATCTTTTCTTTGAGCCTCTAACTTTTCAACTTGGTCTCTCAAATCTTCAATGTATTCCATTCGATGAAGGACATAACTGAATTGACGCCCAACTGGCTCCACCACGAATTCAACAACTATTCCTCCAATGGAAATCAGAGCATCAAGAGCAGCCATAGCCATGTATGAAGACAAATATTCAATAAGAACCATTTTACAGTAGTATGGGACTCCCAAAAAATAAAAAATTGTTGTACTATTGGCATTAATAATTATCTGTGTCTACTTACAATTAAATCTTCGGGTTCAATTTCTGACATTGACAAACATTTTTTTTTTTTTTGGTTCTTTTTGGTGTAGATTTTTGGTAGAAGGGGAATAAAAGAAAAAAAATTAATTGGTTTAGTTTAGTTGATCTCTTTTGTATCCTCTTAATTAGAAGGTCAAGACGTTAATCCTTATCAATGTTAAAAACTAAACCAAACCAAACCAAACCAAACTAAACCTTAAGTCCTATCAAATAGGTCGGTTACATCAATCCTTCTTCTCCACGTGGCTCTATCAAAGGTCATTTCATTAGTCAAATTAAGTAAATTCATATCTCTATTTAGTAAGCTAGCCAACATCAATCTAAGTCTACTCCGTCCCCTAACACTTCCATCTACCGTCATTGCATCGCATCTCTTCACTACTGCCTCTGTTGGTCTGCGTTGAATATGACCAAACCATCTTAATCTATTCTCTCTCAACTAATCTTCTATCGGTGCTACTCCTACCCATTCCCGAATATACTCCTTCCTAATTCTGTCTTTTCTGGTCTTGCCACACATCCACCTTAGCATCCTCATTTCAGTAACACTTATCTTATCTACATGTTGTTTCTTTATTGTCCAACACTCCATTCCATACAACTATCAGTTTTGCGAAGAGAAAAGTTAGAGGTAAGAGTGGTATCTCATCCCCTTTTATATCAAATCATCACCATAATTACAAGAGTACCCTAAGGCATAAAATAAGAATCCTGAATATACATAAGAATAAAATAGGAAATATTCTAACACATTCTAACACTCCCCCTCAAACTGGTACAAAGATATCTCTCATGCCCAACTTGTTAAGATTGTCACAGAATGGTTTATTCCCTAATCCTTTGGTGAGACCATCAGCCAGTTGGTCCCCAGACCTCACGAATGGCGTACATATAGTGCCACTAGTAAGCTTTTCCTTGATAAAATGTCTATCAATCTCCACAAGCTCGGTCTTATCATGGTGAACTAGATCGTGACCTACATTGATGGCTGTCATATTGTCATAGTATAGCCTCATAGAATCTGTCTAATGAATCCCCAAACCCCTAAAAAATAGTCTATTCCATAATAGCTCACACACACCCTGAGTCATAGCTTTGAATTCAGCCTCTGCACTGGACCTCACAACTATATTCTGTTTCTTGCTTCTCCAAGTAGCTAGATTTCCTCCAACAAAGGTACAATAGCCAGAGGTTGTGTCACGACCCCAAACCGCCCCTAGTAGTTTGATGCCGTGATGGCCAGTAATCCGAGATTACCGAAGGCCAACTTTCAAAATTCACACACAATCAGAGTATAAATATATGGGGCTCACAAGTGCGGAAGCAATAATTTAAAATACAAGTGGTCCATAAGAGCAGTGCATGAGTCAAATGGAATGACATACATCTTTACATAACTTAAAAACTTGAATACAAATAAAATGAAGTACAAAAATACATATTACATCTTGATAAAAGGCTTTTCGAGCCGACATGTTCAAAATACATAAGCTTCAAGATTGCCGACATAAACAAAAACACTTGAGCCATAAATCATGAAACATAATCTTCCAATTTGCCGACATCCTCACTGCCGACATAACATACATGCAAAACACACATCTCGGCATAGCCGACTTCTTGCTTGTTACCTACATATACATAGGGAGGGTGAGCTTGGATACTCAGTGAATGGTATAAGTAATAAAGGGGTTAAATGAATGATTCCCAAGGTCTTTTCAAAACGATACATAGTATATCTTTATCAAAACCATACATAACATAGCTTAACTTGACTTGAAACAAAACATCATTCAAACCTTGGTCTTTCAAAACTTACTTACTTACTTAACATACGTCAACAAAAGCATATCCTCGGCATCGAGTACACTCGTTCATAGTCCGTCGGTGGCCGATATCTTAGCAAGGGTGCTACTTAGGCTTAACGTCCCCTAGCACGAAAGGACGGTGCTACCTAGGCTTAAAGTCCCCTAGCACGGAAGGATCCTCATACAAGATGTGTAGTTGCGTTATAGTCCCCTGACACTAAGGACTTCCAAAACAAGGGAATAATCGACCCGGAATTGATTAGACAAACCCACCCGCACAAGGCAGTCGGTGGCAAGGGAGATATCTCAAACAAGGGTGCTACAAATGTTTAGAGTCCTCTAGCACAAAGGACCTATGTTACAAAGGCCCGTAGCCTCCTAACATGAGAGTACTGCGAAAGTTTAGAGTCCTCCAGCACAAGGGACTTTCAAAACAAGATGTGCTGTGAAAGTTTAGAGTCCTCTAGCACAAGGGACTTTCCGAGAATGTCATCAAAACAAAACTTATACTTGATACGCAAAACTTATACTTGATACATAAAATAGGGATATTATTCATGCTTAGAAAATACTTTCAAAACAAAGCAAAGCAAAGCCTCTATCAAAACGTATAACATAACTTTATTAAAAATACCACTCACCTAGTTCTTGGGACGCGCGCGATCAAGGCAAGGGTCTGAGTCTTACAAACATATGGCAAAGTCTACTGAACATACTTCTTCGAACAAGTCTTACATGCATGCAAATGATCTCGGGAAAACATGCTGGAAGTCAAAACACTGTTTTACATGTCAGGAAGACATGCTGGGTACCAACCAGGTCTAAGCCGAGGTCTCACACCTCCTAGTCGAGGTGTGGCTTCCCAGGCTTCGGCGTGAGGCTGCATGCCGAGGAGCGCATAAGACAAACTAAAGGTGTAAGTGATCATGCAAGGTAGGCCAAGGTGAGATACGATGCTTGGCCTAAGTGTGAGGTCTAGGTAAGAGTGATCTCGGCGACTACACCTCGGGAAGTGAGGTCTGGAGATCTGGGTTTCCACCCGTGAAGAACATGAAGAACATGAACATGAAGATCATGAAGAACATGAATGCTAAAAATCATAACTTCTTCATTACAAAATCTGGGATTTCATGCTATGAGTTCGAAAACATGGACCTGGGTACCCATACTTGAAAATCATATGAAAACAAACACAAAAACATGGATCTAGGCATGAGCTTTCGGATCAAAACATGACTTTTCTTGAAGAACACATGAATACTATTTTCCCTTTCTAAAACTGAACTTCAAAACAATGCATGGCTTACAAATCATATTCAATCATCCAATGCAATAACATGAACATAAAGAACGACAAGAGCAAATCAAGAATCTAACCTTAGAACATGAATCTAACGGTTCGATCTCTAGGGATCAAGCTAGGAAATCTGCCTCCTCTCAAGAACTCCTCTCCCTCTTCTAGAGCTTCTCTCTCCTCTTCAAAACAAAGATATAGAAATGATAGGTTTTCTCTCTCTATCGGCTGACTTAACACTCAGCTCGGACACGTGGCAACGACTGGTTGGCTCTCCTAAAAAAAGGTGATAGATTGACAAGACAAGACTATGACAAAGTGTATCTAACAAGCTACTCGGTAAGGCACTCCGGCAAGTGATGACATCGGCTAAGAACAAAGCTTCGGCAACTAAGGTGACAATGACCTTGGCTAGGAAGGACAACACTTGACTAAGCTGTGCCACACCTTGGCCTAGATGTGCCACACCTCGGTCTAGGTCATACCACTCCAGGACAAGATCACTTAGGTGCAAAGGTAACATCTCGGACTAGATAGTACACATCTCGGCCTTGGTGGTGAACACCTCGGCCTAGATGATGACATCTCGGCCAATATGTCAAGGCAAAGGTGGAGGTCAAACAAAGTGGTTTCAAGACAATTCTAGACTGAAGATGACCTTGGCTTGGAATGATCTAGGCGTAACATGACCTAGGAATGACATAACTTAGGCTTGAGACACCAAGGAAGGAACAAAGCATGTTCACAACACTAAGACAAATCACATAAACACAAAACAAGGCATGGACCTTACTTAGGCAAAACAAGTTACAAACATGCAAATTCAAGCTTAACGAGTCGTAATCATACAGATGCTCATGAACATGACTAAAACATGAATACGGGTTGTTACATCAACTTAACATGGAAAAACATATAAATGCATGCAAACATGACTAGGACATGAATGTGGGTTGTTATAGGTTGACCTTCTATTAGTGACTGATCCAGCCCAATCAACATCTGTATGTGCCTCCACAATAAGATGACCATGTTTTGAGAAATAAAGACCCTTTCCTAGAAAAGACTTCAAGTACCTCAGAATCCGCATAACTACCTCTAAGTGAATTCCACGTAGAGCATGCATAAACTAACTAACTATACTCACTGCAATAGCAATGTCAAGACGCGAATGGGATAAGTAGATAAGGTTACCCACTAGCCTCTGGCATCTCCCCTTGTCTACAAGCTCACCTCATTGATCCTCACTAAGCTTCAGTCCAAGCTCTAGTTGTGTATTACAGGCTTTACTTCCAAGCATACCAAGCACATACTTTCTTTGACATATGAAGATGTCATCTTTGGACTGAGCAACCTCAATACCTAGAAAGTGTTATTTTTAGAAGAGGAAAAGTTAGTATGAGTGGTTTATCATACCCTTTTATATTAAATCATAAACTTAAGTTAAGGCCTAACTGAAGGCCCATTGCAGCAAATAAAGAGACTGAATGAGAATAAAATAGGAAATATCCTAACACATTCTAACACTCCCCTCAAGCTGGTGCGAAGATATCTCTCATGCCCAGCTTGTCAAGAATGTCACGGAATAGTTTAATCCCTAATCCTTTTGTAAGAACATCAGCCAATTGATCCGCATACCGCACGAAAGGCGTACATATAGTACCACTAGTAAGGCTTTCCTTGATAAAATGCCGATTCTACCACTACCAATCGTCTTCCTCGTGACAAGGTCCTGAAACAAACAATGATTACGAAAAAATGTCACACTACAATTTAAGTCCTGAGTAATACGACTAAAAGA